ATGGGATATGAATAGAATAGCATAGAATAAGATATAAAATAGAATATAATATAGAATAGAATAGAATAGAATAGAATAGAATAGAATAGAAGAATGGAATGGAATGGAATTCTTAATTGGCCAAGTGTGATTGGACACACAAGGAATTTGTCTCTGGTGCATATGCTCTTGATGTACACAAAAGACAAGATACATTCGTCAAGAATCCTAAGGATGATTCTATCACTTCATGGTAGTCATAAGGTACAAATAAGCAATCAGGAAACAATCGATATCAATCGTAAAGATACTGTGACTGTTCCAGCTATCCCCCCCCACCCCACCCCCAAGCCTTTGTCCTTCTGCAGGGTTTAGAAGCGGGAGCGGAGCGGAGGGGGGGCAGGTCGGGTATTGCTGCTGTCTTCAGCTCCAGATGCCATCGGAGACTTCAAAGCGTCTCATCCGGAGGCTTTGGAAATCCGGCGGCGCTGGTCTCGTCTCAGCCGCCGCTTCTTTGCCCGCCCGCGGTTGACCTGTCCACCGGCCAGTCGGGGCGAATAACGTGCAAGTGTGAAGCCGGGTGTGCGGAGGGTCCTCAAACCGGGACGAAGTGAACTCGCGCACCCCAGCTCTGGCTGCCTTTAAGGTTCCCCGCTGGGCTTCCCCCGCCTTTCTTTGCTCCGGGGAATCGGTCCGGCAGCTCAGTGGAAGGTTTGGGGGTGGGGGGGGGGCGGAGACGAGGCCCGCAGTCAAATGAAGGGCCCGGTTAATTGAATAAAAAACAAGTTTCTTCCTCCATTTAAAAAAAAAATTGCTAGAACTTTAGTTTCACGCGCCGCTAAAAGAGAAACTAGAATCGGGCGTAGAGGAATCTCCTTCCTAACAAAACTGCGCAAAATATCTCAGCGCCGTTGGGAACATCCAGGCACCGGAAAGGCTCAGAACTGCTCCCGGACACAGACACTGAATTACGACGCCTTGCTTTCCCCGGCCATTTTTTTAGTGGGGTGGGGAGGGGCTCTTTCGGACGCTCTGCGTTGATCTCCTTGGCTTGGCTTAGTTCCTCTCCTGCTCAGGATCTCAGCCTTCCCGAACGTCTCCTCCACTGGAAACGTGCCATGCCATCCCACAGGGGGGAAAAAACAGTGTGGTTGCAAACGCTTCCTTGGGAGAACGAGAAGGAACAATCCCATTGGAGCCTCAGACCCGGCCAAGCTGTAGGCTGTCACTTCAGGGTTCAGTGAGCAAGCTTGCCAGGCTGCTCAAAATAGGGTAGAGTAGAGTAGAGTAGAGTAGAGTAGAGTAGAGTAGAGTAGNTTAGGTGGCCAAAGTCTTTGAGTTTCCTCTTCAGGATCTATAGAGCAGCCAGGGTTGATCTCCTTTAGGACTGACCGGTTGGATCGCCTTGCAGTCCAAGGGACTCGCAGGAGTCTTCTCCAGAAATCTGTTAAGATGTTTAAATACTCAGGAGGTGGGGAAAGCCTGCCCTGGCCCCCCTTACACTCTCACACATGCACCCAAATTCCAAGGGATCCACTATTGAGGATATGAACCACTGCAGAAGCCAATCTCTTTTTTTTCTTCTGTTCGATTTCGCCCTGCGTTGTCTGTGGGGTCCCTCCAGAGATATCAGAGATATCCCCCTCCCCTAGGAAGCCGTAGAGTTGGTTTAATACCCACCCTCCCTTAGGAGGAGAAGGGATACCTTCCAATATAGGCAATCTAACTGTTTGCTTGTTGTTAGGATCACGATGCGTGCATGCCATCCAGCCAGATGCGTGAAGTATTAGTAGAGCTTTATAAACCCTTAGTAAGACCACACCTGGAATACTGCATCCAGTTTTGGTCACCACAATACAAAAAAAAGAAGATGTTGAGACTGTGTGTATGTGTGTGTGCAAAGAAGAGCAATTAAAATGATCAAAGGCACAGAGACTAAACCTTATGAAGAACAGCTGCAGGATTTGAGTTTGGCTAGTGTAGAGAAAAGAAGGACTGGGGGGGGGGACTTGACAGCAGTATTCCAATATTTGAGGGGCTGCCCCAAAGAAGAGGGAGAGTCAAGCCGTTCTCCATAGCTCCTGAGGGCAGGACAAGAAACAATGAATGGAAACTAATCAAGGAGAGAAGCAGCTGGAATTAAGGAGAAATTAATTCCCAAGAGTGGGAACAAGTAATCAGAACAACTTGCCTTCAAAAGTAGGTGCTTTATCACTGGAGGTTTTTAAAGAAGAGACTAGATATCCACCTGTCTGAAAAGGTATAAGGTTTCCTGCTTGAGCAGTGAGTTGGACTAGAAGACCTCCAAGGTCCCTTCCAGCTCTATTCTGATTATATACGATGGGTGGACTTCAATTAATGCTCTTAAGTGACTTATGCTAACATGAGCCAAGCCAGAAGTTTTGGGTGCCTTTTGCACAAGCTTGTATTTAGTGGCGCTAAACGAGAAGCGTTAAGGAGAATATTATGGCAGGAGACATGGACTCTATTAGGTCAGAACAGATAAACACATTTTTTTTTAATTGAAAATTTTTTGGGGAAAAAAAAACTTCTACAAATGTTTACCTCCCTCCCCCTTACCCTCCCCGCCGACTTCCCAGAACCAATACAGGGTATAAATCTTTNGCTGGCTGGGGAATTCTGGGAGTTGAAGTCCAGACATCTTCAAGTTGCCAAGGTTGAGAAACACTGCACTAGATGATATGTACATGTACATTTACTTTGAGGACAGCCACATGGAGCTGAATTGGGCTTTCTTTAAAGTAAACAAGGGCACCCCCCAGGTTCCCGCTCCCTTTCCAATTGCAGTCACTCTGAGTTTTGAAAGCTTTTAAATGTATTTTGGGCATTGAGGACGGCCACAAAAAGCAGAGCATCCAAAAAAAACCACTCTTGAAATTTTTTATGCCTGTGTATATGTTTACTTTGCAAATAATAATGATACTAATAATAATAAGAGAGAGGGGAGAGTGGTTGGGTTGGTCCCCTCGCTTTCGTTTCAAATGCACGCATTTTCACTTACCCACCCCCCAAAAAAAGTAAATAACTTTTAAAAGTACATTTTTAAAATGTCATATATTGCAACATATTGATGCATTTGTCATACGTTTCTACTTAAATTATGAAGCACTTATGGTTTAGCTGTAATAACTATATGTAAGGGTAAAAATTTATTTTAGATACAAAGCAAAAAAAATTTAAAAAATAAGGAAAATGGATGCAAAGCTTTCCTGCGTTATTTGATGAAGTGTTGTTTTATTTTCCCCTCCTGCAAAAACAATAGTAATAAAATCCAGAAAGACTTGAATTCATTTTATGTTCCCGATGGGGAAGTGCATGTTTCACATGGAGAAAAAAAAAGATTTAAGGACTTTGGTGCAAAATGTCTTAAGTTCTGTAAATAGGGAATCTGCTTTTAATACAGTACAAAGTGTAATTTTGTGCCAGTGAAATGAAGTCTGAATAGCTACGTGTGTCTTTCCCCCACCCTCCTCTCCCTTCCCCTCCCTTCTTTTCATTTTCCCCCTCGAACAAAAAAAAAAGAAGAGAGATGAAAACTTTATAGTTTATCTGGGTATGTTGGATGCTTTGACAATAAATGAGTTTATTTTCTTGCAAAGCACTCGCGCGTGGCCCAGGATTTATTTAGGAAAAGTGGGGAGGGGGGGAGAGAAGGTGGGCAATGATTTATTTCCCCGGAAGCGGAGGATGGGAAACTGTCTTATGGAGATTCTCCGTCATCCGGGTTGTCCTTTAAGTGGTTTCGGGTTTTTTTTAAATATTTTTTTTATTTTATCAATTTCATATATACATTCACAATTATATGATCTCATAACTTTTATTAATAATAT